GGTCTGGATTCGTTTAGGGGGAGRGGTCTGATGTGCTCATCTTTCTTGATAGCCAAAGTGCATGTTGCAGTGCCTGGACCTTAACAGGCCTCCTTAAACATTTGTTCGAATGTCTTAGGTGAGGCTGAAGACAGGAGGGAGTTAAATATGGTTCTAATTGTAACATTTTGTGAAATTATTTTGGGCAAAGTGACTTAAGTTCTTTGAACTTCATTTTTCTTATGGGTAAAATGGGATTCGCCCACCTGGAGATCATGTTAACATGCACATTTTGGCTCAGTAAGTCTGTAATGGGTTCTGATATTTTGCATTTTTGATAAACCCATGAACTGGCAGGGAGGCTCTGCCAGTCCTTGAACTGCAAAAGATATATAACATAATGACTCTTCCAGCTTTTACCTTCTGTGGTTATATTGTTTTAAATTCTGAACAAGATCGAAAAAATATGTTGTAATTACTAAACATTTCTCCATCTTATCAGAATGCTGAAAACTGACAATTCTGTACCTAAAATTGAATGTAATGTCCCTAAAATCAAAAGTAATTTTATTATGCCTAAAATGTTGACTTTGACAAATTAAAAATATCAAATAAATGTCTGGGAAAGCATTTGATTTAGTACTTGCTTGTCATCTAAGATATCAGATTGCTTTCTTATTGGAGAACATTTGCAATAAATAAAATTACTGTTGAAGGCTTATGCTAATGAGGGAGCTGAGATAGACATGTGATCTCATGAGTATAAATATAAATACAGAGACAGACAAGCTGTTGATTAATTCATCAAAGGAGGAGGAGGAGGAGTTCCCAGTCATTTCCGTCAGTTTTCCAGAAGGTAAGAATCAAATCTTCGTAGGAAGTCTTTAATATACTTACTATAGATAAAGCCAGACTGAATTTTTGGGAATGGGTTTTATTTGAAAATACTATTATAGTTTCTTTTGGCTTTTTCTATTTCCAGAAGTCATGATATAATTTAGTAGCATTGGCAGCTTAGAAATGTATAGCTGTTCTTGATCCTGTGTCTTGTGTACAAATGTCTAAAAGTAGTCAGACTGATTTTTATGTATACCTTACGAATATTCCTTTACTCTCAGCCACACCAGGGAAATTAATCAGGCATAGCTTCAATGTCCAAATAAGTTATAGCCGTGCCTGTGGTGGACTCTGATTCTTATTGGGCTAGGAACTCCCAGTCTCATATTAACTGTCTACCTGTATCCTACTCGGTTTCCATTTTAAATATTTTTTGTTGAGAAAATGAAAATCTGGACAAGGGACATTGAAACCCTGAAAAAAGTACAGAATGTAGACTATAGTTGAGGGTGATTATCTTTATATAATGAGTTTTAAACCTCCCTCAGAATGAGACAGTTTATACTGCCAAAGTGTGCTGTATTTGACCTTCTCGTAACTGTTATGGATTAGACAGGTTTTAGAACCTCATCATCATCACATTTTAATCATTTATAATCCTTGGTTCCCTATCAAAGTAGCTGGGGCAAGCACAGTAGAGTGAGTTGGTCATAAATTATAGCTATGGAAACAAGTAGCCTTTGGCTTTTTTTTTTTCTTTTTTCTGGGTACCAGGGATTGAACCCAGGGGCACTTAACCACTCAACCACATCCCAGCTCCTTTTTAAATTTAATTTTATTTAGAGACAGGGTCTCACCGAGCTGCTTAAGGCCCTCACTAAGTTGCTGAGACTAGCTTTGAACTGGTGATCCTCCTTCCTCAGCCTCCTGAGTCGATGGGATTATAGGTCTGCACCATCTTGCCTGGCTGCATTTTAAACAGATTGTCCTTTGGGAAATACATTCACCAGAACTGCTAGCTGAGGTTCTTTGTGCCCTCTTTGGAGTCTTTTTTTTTTTTTTTTTTTAATATTTTTAGTTGGAAATGGACACAATACCTTTGGTTTGTTTATTTATTTATTTATTTATTTAAATATTTATTTTTTAGTTTTCAGTGGACACAAAATCTTTTTTTTTTTTTTATTTGTATGTGGTACTGAGGATCGAACCCAGCGCCCCGCGCATGCCAGGCGAGCTTGAGTCACATCCCCAGTCCTGTTTTATTTATTTTTATGTAATGCTAGGGATTGAACCCAGTGCCTCACATGTGCTAGGCAAGTACTGTACCATTGAGCTACAACCCCAGACCCTCTTTGAAGTCTTAAATAGACCATTTTCTATCATCTGAGATTTTTTTTATCACTAAACATCATTTTTTAGRCTTCACACTTAGATATTTTCATCTCTGACATTGAATTTAAATGTCTTATTGTTAATGAAGCAGAAAATAGTTGTTAATAATGACTTTTCACTTCTAGATTGCTTTGAATTTCCCAACTGTGGCCTTATATCCCCAAAATGTTAGTATTATATTTTATGCTTTGTTTTTCAAGAAATTATTTTTACTATAAATAGAATAATACTTTTAGCACTGTTTAAAATATTATGTGATAAACCAGTATTATGCTTCTAATATGACTTACAGTATTGATGTTTAAAATTCCAAACATCACCTTTCCTAAGAAGATTAAAGGGACAATCTTTCTTCCTTCTTTTCTTCTTTCCTTCCTTTCTTTTACAAGGAATTAAACTCAGGTTGCTTAACCACTGAGCCATATCCCCAGCCCTTTTTTTAACTTTTTTTTTTTTTGGTGGTGCTGGGATTAAACCCAGGGCCTTTTGCATGCGAGGCGAGCACTCTACCAACCGAGCTATATCTCCAACCGCTTTTAAAATTTTTTTTTGATATAGGGTTTCACTAAATTGCTTAGGGCCTCACTAAATAGCTGAGGCTGGATTTGAATTTATGATCCTCCTGCCTCAGGTTCCCAAACCACTGGGATTATAGGTGTGCACAGTCACACACAGCCGAGGGGACAGTCTTAATAGGAACAAACCTGTTTGGTTTATCAATTTTTATTCAGAGTTCTGATAAAATCAAACTAGATTTTTACTCCCAGAATCTCTCATGCTTTTAACATGATATTTTATCCAAAATAATTGTATTCCTGTTTATGCTACCCCTGATTTACCTTTAAATCTGACTACCAGTCCTTTGACAGTCAAATCTACTTGTGCTATCTTCTAGGTAAGAAGCCAGTGTGCTAGCTCACTTTTCCTCTGTAGTTTCAGATATGCTCTTATGTTTACCTAATGAACCTGTTGGAGTAGTAGGTTCAATTTGTGTGTGTGTGTGTGTGTTTGTTTGTGTCTGTCTGTCTCATGCTCTTTCTCTCTTTCCCTTTTTGTTTTTTTGGCACTCAGGGGTACTTTATTCACTGAGTTACATCCCCATCTTTTCTTTTGAAACAGGATCTCACTAAGTTGCCACGCCTGGCCTTGAACTTGGTGATCCTCCTGCCTCATCCTCCCGAATCACTAGGATTATAGGTATACACCACTGCACCAGGCTGTCAATTTTTTTGTCTCTTAGGCAGTCCCCAGTATAGACAAAATTAACATTTGAGCTGAGTGTAGTGGTACAAGCCTATAATCTCAGCAATCCCAGAGGATGAGTTGAGAGGATCATGAGTTCAAGGCAACCTTGGTGACATACTGAATTTACATCAGTAGAAAGAACTGGGGCATCGGAGTGGGGTAAGAAAAAAAGAAACTGCCTTACTTTCAGAAACCGTACATGGAGAGCTGAAGATGAGAATGTAACTCAATGGTAGAGCATTTACCTAGCATGTATKAGGCCTTGGGTTCTATCTACAGCACTCCCAAAATACATGCAGCTACTTAGAAAGGCAGGAAGATTTCAAGTTCTAGGCCAGCCTCGGCAAGTTATTAGCAAGACCTTGTCTGAAAAAATACAAAGGGCTGGAGATGAAGCTCGTCGATAAAGCACCCCTCGGGTTCAATCCTCAGTATGGCAAAAAAAAAAAAAAAAAAGAGAGAGAGAGAGAGAGAGAGAAACATACATGGAAAATCCCTTTACTGCATTAATACCAACGAGAGAGAGAGAGAGAGAGAGAGAGAGAAACATACATGGAAAATCCCTTTACTGCATTAATACCAACGAGAGAGAGAGAGAGAGAGAGAGAGAGAGAGAGAGAGAGAGAGAGAGAGAGAGAAACATACATGGAAAATCCCTTTACTGCATTAATACCAACTAACACCTTTACAGGATTCTTCATGCTTATAGTCCTTTCCCATCACTGTGTCTCTAACTTTCCTAGAGAAGACAGGGAGACCTGTTAGTGGAAGCCCTTTGTAAGAGAATTGATCTGACATCTCTGTTAAGATTGTCAGACTGTTCTTGCACTGGCATGCAAGTCTTCAGCAGATTAGAAAATTGTCTGGAATCCTCCCAACTTTTAATTTATTTATGTCCTTGTTTTTGCTGCTTTCATAGGACAGCCTATGTCTCTTATATTGTATTAAGATTTCAAAAGATTGTTCCTTATTGTTCTGAGCATGTGCATATCTGACCCATGAGATCTAGATATGCTGTATTTTTGAATGTCATCAGTTGAGCAATGTTTTGACTGACCTAGTAATAATTCTTACACAACCTCTCACCTTATTTACTCTATCAGATAGCCCTGAAATGTATGTAAGTAGTTATTGGTAAATTGAAAAATTTATTCTAGGTCAGCACACTACCAACTCATGGCCGAACCCACTGGGTGTTAGAACCCCATCCATGTACTCCCATAGATAGAAATATGTCTCTGTGAAAACAATGTTAGCATTTCTCTGAAAGAATGAGGGGTAAGTCATAGGAGAAGAATGACTGCACCCTATAGATAGACTATAAAAAATTTCCTCCCGGGGCTGAGGATATAGTTTTATGGTAGAGCATGTGCTTAGCATTAACCTGAGGCCCTAGGTTGGATCCCCAGCAACAACAAAAGTTTCCTCCAGGTGTTTCTTTTATCTGGTAATGTATTACATGGATTTGCTTGATGTCATTCTTTGTCTTTTAAAAAATATTTAAATAAGTAGGCAAATGCAACAAGTAATGATCTTTTTCTTTTTAGTTTCCAAAAAAAGACTTACAGCAAAATGAATAATCCTGCTATCAAGAGAATAGGAAATCACATTATCAAATCTCCTGAAGACAAGCGAGAATACCGTGGACTAGAGCTGGCCAATGGTATCAAAGTACTTCTCATCAGTGATCCCACCACGGATAAGTCATCAGCAGCACTTGATGTACACATAGGTACAGTTTAAAACTGTGAATTAAACTTTGTTCAGTTTAATTAATCTAATGTTGACATTTATTATTACTCTCTATATGAATAATGCAAATAAAGACCCAGTAGTTACCAGTTCTATGCATCTTATTTATTTTTAACCCATTTTGTCCCATCATCCCAGATGTGGAACACCTATAAAAATTTAAATTGAGCAACAAATATGCCACTTATAATAACTTTGAAATAATACTCAAATATTTGTTATATTCACAGAATTGAAAACATTTATTAATGGGCTAATACTTTATTTTGTACCAAAACCCTTGTGTATCTATTGGTAAACTATAATTGTCTATGTCAAATTAATCTTAAATTTACTATGAACATTTTGTTAGGTTCCCACCTAAGTTGACCTCGCAGCAAGAAAATTTCATTCCTATCCTTTACAGTTCTGATTTTCATCACTTTGTTACATTAATGTCATATTTTGTAGATTCTAGTATGCACATTTCTTTTACATTTAATGTCACTTTAATTGATTGGTTCTTACCTATGTGTGCTTTTACCAGGACAGTGCTTCTCTTTTATAGTGTTAAATAAAAACTTTTATTTGACTCATTGGCATCTTAGAATTGAGAAAATAAGGTAATATTGAACAAATAACTACTGCCTGCCATTGTGCAAAGTGCTTTGCAAATATCTAATTTGTGTTCTTATAATCCTCCAAGATTGGTATATATGGAAGAAGAAAATGAGATGAGTGTTCTCCTTAAAGTTTCATAGCTATAGAGCTGTTAATCCCCAAGTCTGTGCTCTTAACCTTGTGATATATGGTTTCCTACAATACAGTAAAACTGTGACAAGAATGTTCTAGCTCTTGTAACATCTAATTCAGCTGCTTTATTCCCTCTAGTGTGAGGAAATTAAGGTCCAGCGTCACCAACTAAGTAATGTCAAGAGTGAGAGCTAGGGGCTGGGGATGTGGCTCAAGCGGTAGCACGCTCACCTGGCATGCATGTGGCCCGGGTTCAATCCTCAGCACCACATACAAACAAAGATATTGTGTCCGCCGAAAACTAAAAAATAAATGAATAAATATTTAAAAAAAAAAAAAGAGTAAGAGCTAGAATCCAGGTTGTCAGACTACTGATTTACTTTATAAATAATACTATTTTAGAACAGCCTGTGCTTAACTTTCTCTGACTGTGTAGTTGTAGTTATCATGATAATAAAAATTCTAAGTCAGTTGGCCAGGTTGGTACATGCCTATAAATCCCAGGGATGGGAGGCTGCAGAAGGATTGCAAGTTTGAGGCCAGCCTCAGCAACTTAGTAAGGCCCTAAGCAACTTAGTAAGATCTTGTCTCAAAATGAACAATAAAAAGGGCTGGGGATGTGGCTCAGTGGTTAAGTGCCTCTGGGTTCAATCCCTGGTACCAAAAGAAAAAAAATTATTCCAGATCATCTTGTAGTTCATCTCTGATTTTTGACATAAAAATAAGATTTTTTTTTATGTGTTTTCTCTTTCAGGTTCATTGTCAGATCCTCCAAATATTGCTGGCTTAAGTCATTTTTGTGAACATATGCTTTTTTTGGGAACAAAGAAATACCCTAAAGAAAATGAATACAGCCAGTTTCTCAGTGAGCATGCAGGAAGTTCAAATGCCTTTACCAGTGGAGAGCATACCAATTACTATTTTGACGTTTCTCATGAACATCTAGAAGGTGCCCTAGACAGGTAATGCTGAATATCCTATAAATTATCCAACTTTGTATAGTTAATCACATTAATAAAAATAATAGTTATTATTTTTACAAAGATGACTTCATTAAGTTTTTTTTTTTTTTTTTTTTAAGAGAGAGAGAATTTTAAAAAATTTTTTCGGTGGACACAACATCTTTATTTTATTTTTTTTTATGTGGTGCTGAGGATTGAACCCAGCACCCTACGCATGCCAGACGAGCACGCTACCGCTTGAGCCACATCCCCAGCCCCTGCATTAAGTTTTAACAAACGACATGTTAAGTAGTTTTTCCCCTATGGTTTATTAAAAGGAAAAATAGTATTATAAAAAAAATAATTAATGACATGTGTTTACTTTGTGGTAGAGGAAAAATAATGGCATGAGTTTAACCAGCCTTCAGGCCTACAAGATATTATATTGACTTATAAAATTCTCATCGACACTTCCCATTTTAACAAGTGTTGCATCTAAAGCGCATTATGAAGAATAACCTGTTTCAAAATGCTAGTCCTTAAGTAGACCTAAAAGACTCTTGGGTCTATAGGCATCTCAGTTACTACACCTCAGCCTAGCTTCAAAGAGGCTGTTGTCATTATTTGATATTTATTTTCAGTGTGTAAATTAATATGTTACTTGTTTACTTCCTCACATTCTCAAGGGTAATTAGTAGAATGTTTTGACCTGCTGTTTCAATCTTAGGGATATTTTGAAAGAATTTTTTGGAGTAAGCTCCATTAGGCCAGTTTAATTTCTTGTTAATTTTTTATATAGCCAACACCTAATAATTTTTTGTTGTATTAGTGATTCAATTTCATTATTCACTGTAATTTTTTGTGGTGAATTTTTATCGTTTTCTCTGTTACCAACATATAATTCTGTACATTTGAATGGATCTGTAATGAAGTTTGACTTTGTAGTTTTGAACATTGTCAGCTTTATTTGCTTAGATTATATTAATAGTAGTAAATTGTTTTTAAGAATGAATAGTTCATATTTATTCCTCAGCACAAAGTACAGTAACTGGACAAGATGTGGTTTACGATATGTGACTGGATCAAAGCAAATCTACTTCCTACTTATTCTCTTAGATTTCAGTGTTTAGGCAACAGCTTTGAGATGTAATCATCTTTTATATACATTCCAAAAGATTTTCCTTAATTCCATGGGATCATACACTGAATTTAATTACTTGCTAGATCTCTATGTGCTGGAGGATGTCTTGTTACTTGGCTTATGACAAAAAGCCACGTGTATAAAAGTGTCTTTTTAAAAATTTGATTATTCTATGTCATAAACATGACTCTCTGGGCCTATACAACTTTAGTATGAAGCTCTTAGGCACTTTCCCCATTTTCAGTATATTGAAGTAAGTAAGCGAGGTTACATATTTATAAATAATTCTTTTTTTATATATCTTTAATTGTAGAATCCAAATAGATGTTGTTTTTCCATGAGTAAAGTACTTAGCACAGTATCGTGTTAATTTACACACTTAAAACAAATATCAAATGACAACAGTCTCTTTGACAGCTAGACTAAGGTGTAGTAAATGAGATGCCTATAGACCCAAGAGTCTCTTAGGTCTATTTAATAGTAGTCTTGTATTCAGAACCTCTGCTCTTCATTGAATCTGAATTCTGGGCCTCATTCTGGTAGGATAGGATCTAAAATTTCTTTCTTTTTTCTTTTTTTTTAATGGTGTGTATATGCCTGTGTACATGCTGGGGATTGAACCTAGGGCTCACACATGCATGCTAGGCAAGCCCTCTACCACTAAGCTACATCCATAGCCCTTTTACTTTGTTTTTTATTTTGAGACAGAGTCTCACTGAGTTGTTGAGGCTGTCCTTGAACTTGCAATCCTCCTGCCTCAGCCTCCCATGTTGCTGGGATTGCAGGTGTGTACCAAAGGATCTAAACTTTCTTGAGAAGAATACTAAATAAAATCATGACTTGAGTTGAGCATTGTGGCACATACCTGTAATCCCAGTGACTGAAGAGGATGAGGCAGGAAGATCTCAAATTCAAGGATGGCTTCAGCAACTTAGTGAGGTCCTAAACAGCTTAGTGAGTCACTYTCTCAAAATAAAAAACAAAAAATGTAGAGATGTAGCTCAGTGGTCAAGCACCCACGGGTTCAATCCTCAGTACCAAAAAGAAAAAAAGAAAAAGAAATCATAACTTAAATCACTATCCAATATAGAAAAATGAATTTATTAGCTAAGGATATTTTGGTTAAACTTTGGTACTGTTATTATAGAATAGCCTCAAGAAAAGTATAGTGGTTACTTATGTTAGAGTTAACACACCATGTTAGTTGTTGAATCACTGATTATTAAAAATTCATAGCCTGTTTATCTTGCTAATTCATAAAAGCCCGTAATTACTGCTTAGTCAAACTGCTGTGTTATACCTTAGGTTTTTCACTGCATTTTTTTCCTTGTACTTTGTTTTTCTGTAAAAGAAGAAAAAAGTATTTAAATCATGCCTTTTAAAAGTAGATCACTTAATTTGTCCTGAGGTTCCTGAGTCTTGAAATTGCACCTAAAACTGTAAATTTTAAGATTTATTCAACTAAGAAGTGTTATCTGGCCCCTTTTTTATTTTAGAGAATTAGGTACACAGAATAAGGTTTTCATAGACATGCCAAATTGCAAATCTTACATAGACTGCTATTATCTTTGTAAGTCTGCCTTTATTTATTGGTGTTAATCTATTTATATTTCTACTAGTTATTTAGCATGTCTGGAATAGGTCAGGTCCTCTGAATTCACATATGCCTAAGTTATATTTTTATTCTATGGCTTACAACTTAAATTTCTTTTTTATATTAGCAATGGTGGTGTTTTCTGTTTATATACAATTAATATCCTAATAAGTTTCAAAATATTTTTTAAAGACTATTCTTTTAAAAATGACAGTTTTCARATTGTTATGTTTCACACCCTTAGGTTTGCACAGTTTTTCCTGTGCCCCTTGTTTGATGAGAGTTGTAAAGACAGAGAAGTGAATGCAGTTGATTCAGAGCATGAGAAGAATGTGATGAATGATGCCTGGAGACTCTTCCAGTTGGAAAAAGCTACAGGGAATCCCAAACACCCCTTCAGCAAATTCGGGACAGGTTTGTCAACAGCGACTTTCATGCATTAGTTCTCTTTGACCTCATTTAAACCCACAGCCTCTTTTTACAGCATTGTATTTTACAGTTAATGTTGGAAGATTTMAGAATTTCCCACTCCTGCTTTCATCCCATTCAAATAGGATTCTAAATGTTTAAGAAGCAAAGCAATCAAGTTGTGACAACTAACATTTCAAAGGCAGAAGATAATTGATTGTTTTATTCTGAAGTCTACCTTCCAAATGGAAGTGCTTTTTAAAGGCTCATTTCAAAGCTCATTGAATGCTGCTATCACATGTACTTGTACTCATCCAGGTGCGCAGCATCTGCCATGGGGCAGTTGTATGGGAGATAGAACACAGGAAGATATACATAGTCCCTGTTCTTCAAGAGCTACTGTCTCCTGGAAGGAAATAAGAAGGGATGACAGGGAACAGAATAAAATAAATGTAGAAATTCTTTATTTTATACTTACACCATTTTTCTTTATTTAATTTTTCTTTCTTTTTTTTTTTTTTTAATTTTTTTTTTAATATTTATTTTTTAGTTCTCGGTGGACACAACATCTTTGTTTGTATGTGGTGCTGAGGATCGAACCCGGGCCGCACGCATGCCAGGCGAGCGCACTACCGCTTGAGCCACATCCCCAGCCCTTTATTCAATTTTTCATTAAAAGCTACTTAATTTAAGTATTTAAATAGTTCAAAATATTTAAAGTAAAAAATAAAATCAAGGGCTGGGGATGTGGCTCAAGCTCGCTTGCCTGGTGTGCATGCGGCCCGGGTTCGATCCTCAGCACCACATACAAACAAAGATGTTGTGTCCGCCAAAAACTAAAAAATAAATATTAAAAATTCTCTCTCTCTTCTCTCTCTCTCTCTCTCACTCCCTCTTTAAAAAAAAAAAAAAAAAGACTCCCTTTTTCTCATCTACTCTTGCCAGTCCCACTCACCAGAATATTATTGACAGGTTGCTGTGCTTTTAAACTACCACTTTGGATATTACAAAATTTCATGAAAATGATAATAGATTATTATTATTTTTTTTTTTTTAAAGAGAGAGAGTGAGAGAGAATTTTTAATATTTATTTTTTAGTTATCGGCGGACACAATATCTTTGTTTGTATGTGGTGCTGAGGATCGAACCCCGACCGCACGCATGCCAGGCGAGCGCGCTACCGCTTGAGCCACATCCCCAGCCYGTTAATAGATTATTTAGAATACTTATGACTTTACTGCTTATTAGAAGTTAATTCTGAAAAAATTTTAAGACTGTAAAGACAACTTTCTTCAAGTTTGGATACATCCTACTAATACATCCAATAGCAGTTAGGGAAATGACCATAGCTTTACAGAATTAAGAGTTTTCAAAAATTGGCAGTTAGAAGCAGTGATATTATATTCTTTAGATTTATACTACACGGTATTCAATATCAGCATCATTATTAAGATGAATACTGTGGTCCCTAAAATGTCTGTAAAATGAAAGGTGGTTTTCATGAATCCATCAGCATACATACTGTGTCAAAAAGGGAATGTGAATTTTAAAAAACAAATTTCCAATTTATTGTATCCAAATGAATAAAAATTAAGTAGTACCTCCCGTGTGTGTGTGTGTGTGTGTGTGTGTGTGTGTGTGTGTGAGAGAGAGAGAGAGAGAGAGAGAGAGAGATGGATTGATTAATTGATCCTGAGGATTGAATATCAGGCCTCCCTCAGGCAATTTCTCTCCCACTAACCTATATTCCCAGTCCTGAAATAGTCCCCTTTGGTAGATAGATACTTAGACTAAAAGTGTTATTATCATGCAGAACATGCTAGAACTCCTCTTCAGGAGTTCCTTTCCTTCAAATACCTCCCTAGTTAGTGATAAATGATAATCAGGAAGTAGCCACAAATCTTTCAAAAATAAATCTAGTGAGTAAGATGAGTACTTCTAGTCGTAATCAAGGAACAATCTTAAAATGTCCTAGAGGGGGTTTCATGAGTGATAAGCAAAAAGATAGATGCATTGCATGGCAAAAAGTGTATGGGTAGAGTTTGAGGAAATATTTGTTTTTGTGATTTTACAAGGTTAGGCCATTAGTAAAGAGCAAGATAATATAAATAGCTATGAGATCAGTGAGCTAGACTCAGTACACAAGTACAGAAAATGTGATATAAGTAATGCAAATGTCAATACTTTCGTTTTCATAGAGATTCTCTCCATTTTTAAGGGTCTAATCATGTTTGCCAATATGATGAATGCCATACACCTCCATTCCAGAAATTATACATATATAAAATTTTGTGAAAGCAATCCTTGAAGAAGAGTCCTTGTCAGAAATTCATGTTTAATTTACTTCTGTTATTTTTTAGTGGCCTTGGGTGTTTCTGTGAGTGTGAGCCATTTTGTCCATCAAGGGACTATGATTTTAAATAATATCAAGAAAATGAGTATTTTGGCGCTGGAGTTGTGGCTCAGTGGTAGAGCACTTGCCTCACATGCATGGAACACTGGGTTCAATCCTCACCACCACATAAATAAAAAAATAAAGGTATTGTGTCCATCTACAACTAAAAAAAGAAGAAAGAAAGAAGAAAGAAGAAAATGAGTATTTTTAAATGAATGAAGACTAAGCATTGTATTATCTATTTAAATTTCCAATAAGATGTTTGTCCTTTACAGTGTTTTTCATTCTTCAGACATAGTATAGATCAGTGGTCAGTGGCTTTCAAACTCTTTTTTTTTTTTTTTTTCCATTAGGGATTTAACCCAGGGGCATTTTATTACTGAGCTACATCCCCAGCCCTTTTTATTTTTTATTTTGAGACAGGTTCTCATTAAGTTGATGAGGGCCTCACTAAATTGCTGAGGCTGCCTCTGAATTTGAGATCTTCCTGCCTCAGCCTCCCAAGCCACTGGGATTACAGGTGTGGGCCACCATGTCTGACCGACAGGTTTCTTTTATCAGTTTAAGAATTTGTTATCGTTTTCTTTGCTTTTTCTGAGTCTGTGTGTGTGTGTGTGTGTGTGTGTCTCTCTCTCTCTCTCTCTCTCTCTCTCTTTTTTTTCTTTTTTTGTGGTACTGGGAATTGAACCTTGCAACACTAGGCAAATACTCGACCAGAGAGCTATATCACCAGCCTAAGACTTCACAACTTTTAGAAGAAAATACATGAGAATTTTTTTGTCTTATAAAAGGAAATTTTCTTAAGTCCCCAAAGAACCAACCAGGGATAAAAACCAGATTTAAAGATAAATCTGACTACACTAAAATTTTAGATTTTCTATTTAGAATAGCCAGAAAGGCCATGTAGTAAAGATATTTGCAAGACATAAAAGAAAAACTTCTGCAAGTTTAAAAAAAAAAAAAACTCACTGAATAAGCAAAGGATATGAATATGGAGTTCAGAGAAAAAGGTATTTGGCCAATAAACATAAGAAAAATGCTGAGATCTTTCATAATCAGGGAAATACAAAGTAAAACAATGTTATCATTTCACACTATTAGGTTGGCAGCTATTTAGACAAAACCAAGTATATTGGTGAGGACGTTATAAATCATAGACTCATATACTATTGGTAGGGAAGTAAATAGATTCAACCACCTTGGAAAGCAATTTGGCAATATCTAACAAAGTGATATCCTTTGCCATTCAATCCACAGAATCTTCCTCTTGACATATACCCTGGAAAGAAGCAATTTTTGCAGTTGTGCACAGGGAACACATACAGAAATGTTCACATGACATTTTTGTACTGATGAAAAATAGGAAGTGACTTAAGTATCCATCAGCAGTTGAATACATTAATACATTTTGGTCTATTCATACAGTAGAATGTTTTATAGCAGTTAAAATGAGTGAGCTAGAACTCCTGTATTAAAACTAAAGAGGAAAACATTTTGAATAAAATACAAGTTGTAGAAAATGTTTAGTGTAGTATCTTTACATACAAGTTGGAAATAAGCAAAACAATACTATATATCTTTATAGAGTTTTATATATAATGGAGAAGAAAAGATTTGCATCAAACATGGCAAACTGTAGATTGATAGAATTAGATAGTGAGTTCAGGGATATTAAGTATTCTGTGCATTTAAATACTTAAAAATAGAACCTGGTGCAGCAGTGGCACACATCTATAATCTTAGCAACTTAAGAGGCTGAGATAGGAGAATCACAAGTTTGAGGCCAACCTGGGCAACTTAATAAGCAAGAACCTGTCTCAAAATAAGATACTGGGCTGGAGGTGTGGCCTAGTGGTAGAGCACTTGCCCAGCATATGTGAAGCACTGGGTTCAATTCTCAGCACCGCATATGAATAAACAAATAAAATAAAGATCCATCAACAATTAAAACAAATTTTTAGTTATACATGGGCACAATATCTTTATTTTGTTTATTTTTATGTGGTGCTGAGGATCAAACCCAGTGCCTCACATGTACAAGACAAGCTCTCTCCCACTGAGCCACAACCCCAGCCCTTAAAAAATATTTTAAAAAATAAAAATAACAAAAAAATTAGGGCTGGGATTATGGCTCAGCGATAGAACGCTTGCCTAGCATGCATGGGGCCCTGGGTTCAATCCTTAGCACCACATAAAAATAAATAAATAGAATAAAGGTATTGTGTCCAACTATAAAATTAAATATTAAAAAAAAAATTAAAGGGACTAAGGATGTAGCTCAGTGAAAGCACCCTTGGACTGAAGCCCCAGTAACAATAAGTATTTTAAAATAATTAACAATTTTTTTAAAGTTTCAAGTGAAACGTAAAATAGTTTTTGTATCATTATCTAAACAAAAAGGGAAAATAAAAGACTGAGGGTACAACACTCTTCAAGATAAGCAGGGAGAGAGCTTTCTTTTGTGTGTGTGAGGACTGTTTGTTTACTACCCAGGTATATCTGTGTCAGAAGAAACTTGTAGGTCATCTGTTGTGTCTTAATTTTTGATTTACAAACCTTTGATGAAGTGCAGGATGCTCTCAAATTGCTATTTTCTATGTCATGGATTCAC